TCCAGGGAGCTGGAGAAAATTAACATGTTGACACGGTAGACGAAAACAAAGCAGTTGAGCATGTCTCAGAGGATGTCATTCATGAGGGTCTGGAAAACAGCCAGCTGGCTGGGGGGGGTGTAAGGATAGTGCCAATACTCAGAGGGGACACTTGTGAGGATTGTGATGCTTAAGCCAAGGGTAGCCGAGGACCAGTGGGGAGACTGGAGAAGTGATGACATACAGATGAATGGTCTCTCTGTGATTCTCCGACATAATGAGGGTGACAGGAGCAGTTCTGTGGGTGACTCTTGAGGTGAGGTGACCATCCAGGGCATTGACATTCTTGGAAGAATCTAATGGCTCGAGGGGAAGTTGAAGTTGTTTGACCAAACCTGTGTGGATGAAGTTATCATCGGCCCCAGAGTCTATCAGAACAGGAATGGATGTGGTGCTGTGGATCCGGCGGAGACTAGAATGGATTGTCATGCGGCGAGGAGAGCTGGGGGTAGAAGTGAACTGACTCACCATTGCACTCTTCATCAATGGGGAGTCTTCTCTTTTAACGTCAGGGGGCAGTGAGCAATAAAGTGTCCATGTCTAGTGAAGCATCTCAGGCGCTCTTGAGGATCCAAGCGAGCTCAGCCCAGCTGCATGGGCTCCTCCACTGCAGCAGTGGGAGCTGGAGGGTTCATGGATAAAGGGATTAAGGTGACAGCCTGCAGTGTAGGCAAAGGACCAGGAGGGGGAGCCAACCTATGAGTCTGTGTCTCTCTCTCTCTCTCTCTCTCTCTCTCTCTCTCTCTCTCTCTCTGACTGAGATGGCGTGTTAGTGAGGAGCTGAGAGCGAATTGAATTTCGATTCAATTTTTTGTAAGTTTTGAGAAACTTCTCTTTTCTTTTGGTGTGAGTGTGTTTACTGTGTTTTGTTGCGTGTGTGAGTGTGTGTGGAGAGAAGAGTCGTCATTCATGACACTTTCTCTCCTGTCTCTCCCCTTGTTAGCCCAGCCACAAAAGTAACACTATCAAATGGCCCCCCATTCATAAAACACAAATGTTGGCAAAAGAACTGTCCAGGTATGGGCAACTGGTGTCTCCCATTAAAATGGTCTCCCTGGGGTGAAAATCACCAAAACTAAAACATGTGGTGTGTCACACAAGACAGGTTCATATGGTCCTAAAAGACAAAAATAATGATTTAAACCTGTCAGTCTCCTTTAAAGTTGAGAGATTTGTGTACATAGTGTTCACATCTTCAGAAACAATGAAATGTTTTGGTTGTGGTGCAGAGGGGCACCTGATTCGCTCCTGCCCAGAGAAACAAGGAGCACAATGGCCTGCTGCCGCTGCTGCCAGGGGGATCTGCCCGCTGCTGCACCCACTGCTGCGGCTGTGGCTGCTGCTGCCAGGGGGAGTCTGCCTGCTGCTGTGGCAGAGGGACAGTTGATCGCTACAGCAGCGGAATCTGGTGGTCCAGCTCAGGAGGTGGTTGCTCAGTCAGACTCAGCTGACGAGAATGTGAGATAAATGTTGAGTGAGGAACTGATGGAGGAGGACATGACGGAATATGACCTTCTTAAAGTGTCCCAAAAAAGAACAGTCAAACGAAAAAACTGAGCGTGAAGACCACAGAGTCAGAAAGTGATTTCTCCTTAACCCAGGACTCGCAGTCATCCTACTACCCGGCTCAGATCAAAACTCTCCTGGAGCAGACTAAGGGCTCCAGGCTGCCTAATGTAGAGGATTGTTTCCTAGACCTGCACTTATTGATTAGGTCAGCTGTAGCAATCAAGACAACCCTGGGTGTGAAACACAGGAAAGTTTCCTTATCTGGTCCCAGGAAACAGGATATAAATCTTTCCAGACTTGTTTGCACTTTCAGGTTACCCAACCGGAGGTTGACTAAACCTCTGACTCTTCACGATTGGTCAATTCAGAGAACAGAGACAGAGTTTTTATTACCTTTCAAACTGACTCCATTGCTGACCATCTAAATAAACATTAACGTCTCAACCCAGATCTCCCATTTGAGATTTACCATCTTAAGGTGTGTGAACATACGGACCCCAGGATGAGGGGGGAAACTGACCTCCAGACCTCGGTCGTAAAACCCTGCTCGACCATACACTGATAAAGACTGCATTCCTTTGGTGAAAGAATACAAATGACTGATCCTGACATTTTATGCATTCAGCAATGTACTAATCTGTCTAATCATGAAATTTGTGTTAAAATGAGATGTTTCCTGTTTTTCTATGTGCTCCAGAAGCAGAGTTATCACTCTGACAGAATAAATCCTTTATTCTTTAGTTTCTTTAGACCAACAGCTTTTCAGACTGTTTCATGAACTTTTAAGAGTTAAATTTATTGATTGTGACTCATAACTTAACTCTAATTAACAGAAATGGTTTAGAAATGTTTGTTCTATATTTTAATCGTTTATTTAGTATTTTTAACCACCAGGTGGTTATAATGTCATTGAATAATCTGAATGTGAGTATTTAGAATCCATTATTAATCATGATGAAGTTCATTCACATGTGTTTACTCTTTTGTTGTTCACAGTTTCCATGTGTTACTATCTGTTTCATTTCAGAGTAATTTAGCATGTTCAATGTGATACTTAAAACATAATGAGAATGTTTGATGTGATCCTACACTTCATTCATATGTGTTTAGTATCAAATTATTTATCATGAAACCAAGCATTCAATGATATTAATCATAGTGAGTGAGTATCAGATCTGACTCTTTTGCCAGACAAAAGAATAAGTTAGATCAAATAATCAGAGACCCCATGAACCCTCCTTTTTCTCCTCACACACACACGCCAGAGACACTCCCAGTGTGAGAAGATAAAACCAGTGAAGTGGGGTTGCTCACTCTCTTATGCTTCTACTCTTATCCCTTCTGCTCTTATCTGCTCTTCTCTTATGCCCCGTACTCTTGTACCCTTCCTCTTCTCTCCTCTACTTTGTTCTCTCTTAGAACTTTTTCTTAGTCTACTAAGTTTACGCCACGTGTTGATTCACGTTGATTTTTCTTTAACATCGTCTTAGTTCAAGTTTTGAAACTTCAACTTTTTGTGCACATAGCAATTCAAGATTAAGCCTTTGATTGATTTTTCTTTAATTTCGCGAAGCCATTTTTGAAAGTTTTCTCTGCTCGAGTCTCGTTTTCTGAGTTATCTGCGTGATTCAAAGTCACCTCTGAACGTAACCCAGCAGGCCCAGGTCATCCTCTGTGACAGAGTTTTTGAGTGAGACCAAAGAAGTACCCAAACGAGCATCCACAGGATCCACAGGCGCTGGCTTTGCTTCGGGCCTGAGTGCTGCAACTCCTGGCTCATCCTTCAGCTGACTTCAGTCGTCTTCTGAGCTGAACCACTCGAACCGCCAGTAGCCCCATACCTTCAGAACCTGCTCCATCTTCTCCAAGGACCAGTCTCACTTAAGTATGCAAACCTCCAGAGCTCCAAAGAGGGCTGGTGCTGTCTCATGCGTTCATAACTCAGATATCCACTTATTCTGGTAATCTTAGATTCCTCCAAATCCACATCCGAGTTTATCTCAACACCAAAGTTAGTGTAGGTTAATATGTTAGTGCATATTCACTCACTATCATTAACTTTAGTGCTCCTAGCCTGACTCAGAATATTTATTTATTCACCTATTATTATTTATCCTTATTATCTTATCATTTATTGCATGTATGTTGTACCATCATTTATCCTGTAATAAACAGATCATTATTTTTCTAAGTTTTTGTCTGTTAGTGTTCTTCCAGAAGTGGAGTCCCTGAAATTAGAATTTCGACTTAAGATATGAGACTGATTAATTAAAACTGACTTGATGTTTGATTTCTGAATTAAACTTTTGTTTTCTTTATTTTCCCACCATTAAGGGTGGGTGGTGCCCCTTTTAACGAGTGCATAAATGTCATAATTTGAGATTATTAATCTTCAGACATTTATTATAAATTCCAATCGCTACAGTATTATTTTGGTGCGACCATGTGAGGCTCATTTCAAACCGTATTATTTTGGTGCGGCCGAGTGAGGCTCATTTCAAATCGCTACACAGCCAAGCCACTCACCAGGAAGAGCCATGGGGAGGAGGTTTTCACAGAGCAGGAGGTTTTTAGACTCAAGAAGATTTTACCGAATGTAAAAGCTCAAACCATCGGTGATGAAAATGATTTTTAGATGCTTTTACCTTTCACTGACTGCTCTTCTGATTGTTATTTATTTTTTTATCCATGTGTGATTTTAATATCAGCACCTTAAACCTGAACAGGACCAGGGCTGATTTTAGATGAGCCACTCTTTTTAAACTGATGGAGACTAAAAGAAAAGACATAATGTTCGTCCAAGAAACCCACAGCAGCTCAGACAATGAAAGTGATTGGAAGAGGGTTCCAGTTCACCTGGAGTCACAGAAGGGATGGGGTTTAAACGCTGGCCAGACTGGACCGTTTTTATTGTTTTAAACACCATTTGAATATTTTTAAAAGGTGTTTTATGCTGCCTGTTGGTTTTACGGATCATTTTTTAGTGTCTTGTTGTGTTTTTATCAAAACATTCATTAAAAGAGCACCTACTGGCATTTTAACACAGCCCTTTTAACTGACCAGGCTTTTAGAACTGCTTTTAGGGTTTTTTGGGAATCCTACAGAGAGAGCAGGCCTGCCTTCACTAACATACAACAGTGGTGGGATTTTAGTAAAACCGAAATAAAACAGCTCAGCCAGCAGTTCTCTTGCGGTGTCACTACAGACTAAGCCCGGTCCATGAAGTCGCAGGTGGTAGAGCTGCAGGCCACTGCAGACTCTACAGCAAATTAAGGGCTTTTAGACTCCCTCAAGTCCAAAAAGTCGGCTTTAGCCAACCTGCTAGGCATCTCAGCACAGGGGCTCTGGTCAGGTCTCGTTTTATGAACATCTCACAGATGGACGCCCCATCTCACTTCTTCTTTGGGTTGGAGCGTAAAAATGGACAAAGGAAGACCATTCACTCTTTACGAATGGGTAGCAGCTCCGAAGTCTCAGACTTGTCTGAGATCAGGAAGTTTGCTGCCGGTTCCTACAGAAACCTCTTTAAGAGTGATTGGACGCATAATCCAGATGTGCACAACAACTTCCTGGCGGGTCTCCCTCAGGTCAGCGAGGTTGACAACAGCAGACTGGCAGCAGAGGTGACGCTGCAGGAGCTCCATGCAGCCACCATGAGCCTTCAGAGCGGTAGAACTCCAGGCATGGATGGCCTTCCTGCTGACTTTTATAAGTCCTTCTGGTCCATAATAGGACCAGACCTGCAAGAGGTCTTAAAAGACAGTTTAAAGACTGGCAGGCTGCCTCTGAGCTGCAGGAGGGCCATCATCACCCTGCTGCCCAAGAAGGGAGACCTGCAGGAGCCGAAAAACTGGAGGCCAGTCTCCTTGCTGTGCATGGATTATAAAATCCTGTCCAAGGCTCTGGCCCTCAGACTGAGGGAGGTGATGATGTCAATCATCCACCCTGACCAGACCTACTGTGTGCCTGGCAGGCTCATCAGTGACAATGTCACTTTTTATCGAGATGTTTTGTAGCTCTCCAGTTCATTGGGTATAGGGACTGGTCTTATTTCCACAGACCAGAAAAAGACTTTTGAACACCAGTACCTATGGCAGACTCTGGCTGCCTTTGTGTTCAACCCTGGGTTCATAGCCATGGTCCGGGTTTTCTATCATTGTGAGTGTTCTGAAAATTAATGGCGGGCTGAGTGCACCATTTGGGATCTAGAGAGGGGTGAGGCAGGGCTGCTCTCTCTCTGGGATGTTGTATTCAGTTGCCATCAAGCCTCTGCTTCACAAGCTGCAAGAGAAACCGAGTGGTGTGCGTTTCCCCCAGTGCCCTGTGTCTTTTAAACTGTCTATATACGCTGATGATCTTGTTGTTTTTGTCAAAACACAAAGAGACAGACCTTTTAACTGACACTGTGAATGATTTTGGTTTTATTTCCTCAGCAAAGGTGAACTGGGGGAAAAGCAAGGCTCTGATGGCTGGAAAGGAGCTGGGGGGCCAGCTCCGGTACCTTGGGGTCTTCCTAATAGATGAGACCTACACACAGAAAAACTTGGACAATGTCCTGGAGCAGGTTAAAGGTCAGCTGGAGAAGTGGAGGTGGCTGCTTTCTAAAATGTCGTACAGAGGCCGAACCTTAATCTCAAATAATCTGGTCTCATCTTCCCTGTGGCACCGGCTGGCCTGTGTCAATCTTCCGGCTTCTCTCCTTTCCAAGATTCAGTCGGTTTTAGTTGATTTTATTTGGGACAGACTCCACTGGGTCCCACAGAGTGTCCTGTTTTTACAGAAAGAGGAGGGGGGCCAGGGCCTGGTCCACCTGGCCAGCAGTGGCCCGAAGGACACTCTGTGGAGGCCCCTGTCCCACTGCATTCTGCAGGGTTAAAACAGCCTGGGTCAGGATTTTAATCTGTTTTTAATACACACAGAACATGAGCACATCTTCTCTCCCTGCTTTTTATCAGTGTTTTTAAGGTTTGGAGCCTGCTGAGGAAGGAGAGGAGGGGCCAGGTGGACTCAATACACTGGCTCCTGCAGGAACCAGTCCTGAAGGGGGCCTGTTTGGACCTTCCCAGCTGGGCAGGTCAGAGTCTTGGAGAAAAGACTACAGACGGTGGGGATCATCACTCTGGGGCAGGTGGTGGAGCTGACGGGACCCTGGATGGACGACTCCTCTGGACTCGCTGCCCGGCTGGGACTTTCATCAATGAGGGTCACACAAAAACTCTTGGAGCACTCGAAACAGAGACTCACAGGACAAGACCGCCGGCTTTTAAACTCCCGTTTTAATCAGACAGTGACTGAAAAAGACCCCTTTCCTGCCATCTTCCTGGCACCGGATTTTAAAGACTGCTCTGGCCTGCTGTTTGATTTTAACCCCCCCACCCCTTTGGAGGGCACACCAGGAAAAACCTTATACAAGATGATGGTAAAAACAACAAACAGGAAAAAACTGGATAAAAGACCTGACACCCCATGGAGGAACTATCTGCGCCTGGCCCCTGAGGCCAGGCCTGAGTGGAGGGCCTTCTACAAACCTTCACTCTCAAAGAGACATGCAGATGTGCACTGGAGAGTCCTCCGTGGGGTCATCGCAGTGAACTCTTTTATATTGAACATTACCCCGGCAGTAGAGGACACGTGTCCCTACTGCCCCCACGGAGAGACTATTTTTCACTGTTTTTATGAATGTCTGTGTCTTTTACTTTTGTTTCTGTTATTATAAACTGTTCTTACCAAGTGTGGAGAGGTTTTTAACCAGCAGGTTTTTATTCTGGGTTTTAATTACACACACCAACACAAAAACAAGTGCCAGCTTTTAAACTTTGTTTTAGGTCAGGCCAAGATGGCAGTGTATTTTAGCCGCAGGAGGAAGGTGGAGGATGGTTTTATTGTTGATCCGGTCACTGTGTGTAAAATATAATGAAGTCCAGACTCCTCATTGATTTTAATTTTTACAGAGCAGGAGGAGATCTGGACTCATTCCAGCAGGTTTGGGGTTTTAATCAGGTGTTGTGCTCTGTAGCAGGAAATTTTTTACAGTTTGAAGATGTGCTCATGTGAATATTTATTTATTTATTTATTTATTGGAGTGTGTGTGATAGATTATTTTGAATTGACTTCTTTTTTGCAAAAAAATGGCAAAGTGGATTCAAAAGTCAAATCAAAAATGGTGCTGGTTGGTGTGGATTAGGGATATTTGTTGGTGAAGAGATTCCATTATTCCATGCAGCATTTTTTCATGATGTCCAATCTGAATTCCTTGAGCTGAAAGAGCTTCCTTAACTGCATCCGGGTTTGCTGGCTCCATGTCCTGGCCAGATTATTCTGTAACGACTGTTGTTCTTGAGGGACCCAAAAGCAGGTAGCGGAGGCAGAGGAAGCTTTAAGTGATTTTATTGTAAGGATCGATGAAGGATGGTGTGAGGTCCGGGGTCCAAGGAGCACAGGGGGATCTGTTGTGAGGGGGTGAGGCAGTGTGTGAGCTGAAGGAGACAGCAGGTGAGTGGTTCAGGATCGAGAGTATGGCAGTGGAGGCAGAGGTTGGGCAGACACTGGTGGCTTGAGGAAGCACTGGTGGAGAAAGGAGGACAGCAGGGATTAGTAACTTGCAAAACATTTACTAGAACACTAAGAAAGAGTTGGCCACTGTGAGAGTGGGAATAATCTGGCGGTGAGCAGTCTTCAGAGCTGAGCCTAAAAGCAGGTGGTGATTAGGTGATCAGATGTAGGTGTGGAGGTGCAGGAGGCGCCAGGGCTGCTGAGGAGCTGCCCAACTTCTGTGAAAAGAAGGGGAGGAAACTCCACACAAAAAAACCCTCCACAGAGCCATAAAAGTGTCCAAACCAGCAAAATCATGACAGAAGGCACTTATTCTTCAAAGGAACTACACAGTCACCTCTGGAACCAGCTTTTGTTAAGCAGTTTGAGTTGGCCGCGTAAAGAGAACACCTAAACCAATGTAAGAGGGATTTGATGCATTTGTTATGTTTAAATGCATGCAATTTGAACATGATGTAAAATTTCTTTTTGTGCGTGTGTTTATCTAGCCACTATTATGATGATACAGGAGAGGAAAGTGACAGTGTATTCCTAAAAAGAGGCGATATCCCAAAAAGGCTCAACTCCAATAAGACACACTCAGCAGTCATCAGCATTCCCATTGTCATAACAAAGGTAACAAGAAAAAATGGACTTTTTTCTCCTGCCATGGGGGGGCGCTCTTTTGGGGAGTCCCCAGCGTTCAAGTCACATTACATATTTAACCGGATGTAGCAGCAAGACGGAGCCTCGTTGACTCTCCGTTTCAACTTATCTCAAAAGTGAGGACCTCAAACTATACACCAGTTTTCAAATTGTGTTGATAGGCCAAATAAAACCAGAGTTATGATAAATTATGTCCGCGATACTTTTTTTCTGCTTATTTTGATCACGTTCGGCGCTCGATCGCGCTGTATGAGACAGGAAAACATAGCATGCAGACATTAGCGACAGGTCTTACAGGCGGAAAAGGCTTGCCAAAGAAAAAAAACAACACACCACAACATCTCTCCTATTGGTGGAAAACTTCACCACAACAACCAATCCAAAATTATATGGTGACTGATTGACAAGGGGCGGGCGCTTACGTTCTTCCTGCAACATGAGAAGGGAGGGAGGAACTCTCAGCAGGGATGCAGTCTGGGACACGTAGTTGCAAACCTAGCGACTTTGTTGTTAGATTCAATGACTTTTCAGACCCCCTAACGACTTTTTTTTAGAAAGAAAGGGACTTTTATCGACTTCTTCTGGAGTTTAGAGACTCTGACATGAAGCAGGCTTTCCTTACTGAGGAGTTAGCAACGCTGCTAAGGGTGCAGAGTCACACATGCGCTCCGAGCTCTGCATGGGAGACTAAAGCTGACAGAGCTGCAGCAGTTAGCAGGTTTCACCCTCAGAGACCACCAGGGGTTCATGTTGAGGCATTTTCAGTTTTTTTTTTTTTTTTGCCATAGACACTGTCAGCACAATCTGCAGTTACACTAACAAAAATGCTGCAAAAAACAAAGAATTATGGAAAAATTACACATGGACTGACATAGAGGAGGATCTACACAAGTTTTTTACATCATGTTTTACATCATGCATCATTTACATCATGTTTTTTTGTAGTGGCATAAATAAAAAGTGACATTTGTGAGACTATACAGTGTTTTGTAAATAATTTTACAAAGAACGCCTGGGCCATTGCCTGCATTTTGATGTAAATAGAGGTAAATTACTATGTTCTTTGTTAAAAATTTGCATATGTTTTGAAGTTTACAATTTTTATTTGAAGTTTAAGTTTTAAAAACAGTTCATCACACATATTTGTGGTTTTCACAGTAAAAACGTTACTTTTTTCCACTCGGATTTTATGTTTTGTGTGTGAATTTGGGTCCAATGTGTAAATATAGTATGTCAAAATGATAAAATAACTGTAAATTGACACAGGTGAGGTTGTGCTGAAAAAAATGATACCAGGCAAGGCAAGGTAAAAATTTTGTAAGAGGAAATATAAAGGTAAAATCTAAAGTAGTCAAAAACGGCCAATAGTGACTCACAGACTCCACAGACAAGTCCCTTTGGCGCCACTCAGTGGGCAAAACTACTTTGTCTACTGTAATGTATATTTGGGTCATCTTTGGCGTCCCCTAAAACGTAAACCGTGGGGTGCAGCGTCATGATTTTTACAACTTTGAATGGCCATGGAGTGTAGATTGGCCTGAGCAAATTTGGTGTCAGTGGGACGAAAGCCTTAGGAGGACTTAGCGAAATTCCAATGTGTGCGAATTGCCAAAAAATGCAAAATAGCCCTTTAACTGTACATTTTACACTTACGTGCCCATTGACTTTTTCATAGATCTTATTGAGATACACGTGATTGTCAAATTTTTGTCAATATGACAAAGCATAAAGGCGTGACACTCAACAACGTGTATTTTCACCTTTCGGGATAAGAAAAAATGGACTTTTTTCTCCTGCCATGGGGGGGCGCTCTTTTGGGGATTAAAAATTCCTTCACAAATGTGTTGATGGCTGGACATTGCATCATCCTAAAAAACTTGGAGGCCAGTATGGAAAAAAAAAAAAAGTTATAAGACTTTTAAGAATGTGGATTTTAGGGTTATATTTGGTGCCCCCTAGAACCCAAACCGTGGGGTGCAGCAAGATGATTTGTACAACTTTTAATGGCCATGGGGGGTAGATTGGCCTGAGCAAATTTGGTGCCGGTGGAAAGATAGCCTTCGGAGGAGTTACCGAAATTCCAATGTGTGCGGATCGGCAAAAAATGCAAAATAGCCCTTTAACCGTACATTTGACAGATACATGCCCTTTGACTTTTTCGTAGATCTTATTGAGATACATGTGATTGTCAAATTTTGTGTCAATATGACAAAGCATACAGGCGTGACACTCGACAATGTGTATTTTCACCTTAGGAGACAAGAAAAAATGGACCTTTTTCTCCTGCCATTGGGGGGCGCTCTTTTGGGGAGTAAAAATTCCTTCACAAATGTGTTGATGGCTGGACATTGCATCATCCTAGAAAACTTGGAGGCCAGTGAGGACAAAAGTAAAAAGTTATAAGACTTTTAAGAATGTGGATTTTTGGGTTATCTTTGGCGCCCCCTAGAACGTAAACCGTGGGGTGCAGCGTCATGATTTGTACAACTTTTAATGGCCATGGGGGGTAGATTGGCCTGCGCAAATGTGGTGCCGGTCGAACGAAAGCCTTCGGAGGAGTTAGCGAAATTCCAATGTGTGCGGATCGGCAAAAAATGCAAAATAGCCCTTTAACCGTACATTTGACAGATACATGCCCTTTGACTTTTTCGTAGATCTTATTGAGATACACGTGATTGTCAAATTTTGTGTCAATATGACAAAGCATACAGGCGTGACACTCGACAATGTGTATTTTCACCTTAGGAGACAAGAAAAAATGGACCTTTTTCTCCTGCCATTGGGGGGCGCTCTTTTGGGGAGTAAAAATTCCTTCACAAATGTGTAGATGGCTGGACATTGCATCATCCTAGAAAACTTGGAGGCCAGTGAGGACAAAAGTAAAAAGTTATAAGACTTTTAAGAATGTGGATTTTTGGGTTATCTTTGGCGCCCCCTAGAACGTAAACCGTGGGGTGCAGCGTCATGATTTGTACAACTTTTAATGGCCATGGGGGGTAGATTGGCCTGCGCAAATGTGGTGCCGGTCGAACGAAAGCCTTCGGAGGAGTTAGCGAAATTCCAATGTGTGCGGATCGGAAAAA